AAGGTGAGCCAAGACAGGGACGACCACCAGCCTCAGCAAATGAGACTGGATGAGGTCTCGAAACTGGTGCAAGAAAAACCACAGAAGCACCCTTGGCAAGACAGCTACCGAAGTCGGCGTCTCCCATGGTTCTGCGTTTTCAACCCCAGGCAAACTGGCCTGGAAAAGCTCAACGGGTGCTGGAAGTGTTGCCCTTCGAGCTGACCTCGCTCACAGCTGACCAGTCTTAGGAGCTAATGAAGACCGTTATGGAACCAGTCATAAACGGGAACAAGTCTTAGATCTACCAATGTGATTGAGAGAGCAGGATCCAATCGGGACAGTGACTTCTGACAATTCAAGGCACAGAGGCCAGCTCAAAAGCTTATGGCAACTTTGAGGGGGATTTCCAAGAGGTAATCTTGATAGAGGGTCCAGGACAATTGTGGGGGGTTATTAGAAAAAGGATTTTTTTTTTTTTAATTGAAAAGTGCAATGGTGAGAGAAAGGCCAGGACCATTGCTCTAGGGGGATTTTTTCCATCGCGACAATGCACCTGCTCATGCTTTGAGGGAAATGAGGGCTGTGTCTGAGAATTTTCCCAGAAGCCCTTACCCCGTCTACCCTACAGCTCTCTATAACCTTTTTACCAGATCTCACACCAGCCCTCCCTCCCATAGCACCTGTTCTTCTCAGCTGAGTTTGATAATTCATTGCCATGGCCACACACAACTCACACAGCACTCAGTAATTACAGGCTTTATTAGGGAAGTAGACAAGGAGCTCTGGTCGCGTAGTCGGGCTGCTAATCTCACAATCAGCAGTTCAAAACTGCCAGCTGTTTCATGGGAGAAAGATTAGGCTTTCTGCTCCCATAAAGATTTACAACCTCAGAGACTCTACTCAGGGTGCTGTAAGTCAGAACCGACTCCATGGCACGTAACTACCAACCACCACCGTCACAGCTTACGAGGAGCCCTGGAAGCATAGTGGGTTGCACATCGGGCTGCTGCTAACTCCAAGGTCAGCAGTTCAAATCCACCAGCCACTCCGAAATTTACAGTTTCAGAAACCGTACGTAGGTGGGAATCGACTAGATGCCAGTGAGGTTGGTTTGGTTTTCACCCAGGTTCACCTAATGTTAACATAACCACGGCCCCTTCCACAAAGCTAAGCCTAACTTAGTAAGGTACTGTTCACTAAATTACAAGCTGAGTTTTGATTTCTTACTCTTTTTTTTATTAACATACTTTTTATGGTCTAATTCAGAAAACGACATTGCATTTAATTGTCTCTCTCAATCCCTTCCAATCTCTGACAGACTTTTTCTTTTGTGACTGACGTTTTTGAAAAACAATGTAGTTTTGCTGAAAGTATCCACAGCAGAACGTGTGCTGCGTGTGCTGGTACAGTGTGGTCACTGTCACCTTCCTTTTCTGAGTTGCCCTTCCCCCACTGACCTACACACACTACCCCTGAAGTTTCCTACAGAATCTTGTCAGTTGCTGTTGTCAGTGTGAGCCTATACCGCTAGTTCTTGAAAGACCAGGATGCAATGTTGAACTTAGACAGTATTTACTAGTTACGCTAAACGACTGTTTGGTATCAACACGTCATGGAATACTTTTGGGTTTAAGGCTTAAACATCGTCTCAGAACAAGAGTTTCAGAGATTTACCCAGCCTTCATGGCTCCAGACAGTGTGGAGTCCATGAGAATTTGAAATTCGATTCTGTGTGATCTTTATCAGTATCCTTCTACAGAGCCTCTGACCAAAATGTTCTGTAGTGAGAGTCAGGAACCACCCAGTCCTTCTAGTCTCATGGAGATAACTGGGCAAATGTATGGCTTCACTTATATAAAAAGACAAGTACAAGCAGATGTGCAGAGACCAAAGTTTGTGAGTGGTTACCAGGGACAGGAGGGAGGGAGTAAATGGGGCAATTGCTTATGCAGTACTGACGTTCAGAACATATGCAACATATATTGGTAGTGTGGAGTTACTGTTAATTCTGGCCCATAACGACCCTGGTGAGCTTGAACCGCTGACCTTGTGGTTCAAACAGACCTTGTGGTCCAGCTCGTCACCAGGACTGTATAATCCATGTAACTGTCGTTAAGTTGTACATCTGTAAAAAAGTTCGCCTGGAAAGAGTTGTGATACTCGAGGGCTTCGGAAGTTTATGGGAAAATTCTGTGATCTTTTTCATTTTTCCTCCAACTTTTTAAAGCCCCTCATTTTTATTAAAAAAAAAAAAAACACAAAAAACCCAAAGTAGCTGTGGAGGCTGCTTTGTATACAACCAAACACTTCTTGAGATTTGACTCCTTCCTTTGGAGGTTTAAGGTCATGATTTCTTGGGGCACCCAGCTTAATTGATCCAAATATGTCTATTGCTTCGACTTTCCTCCTAGTTCTTTGTGTAGATCTTAAAAGCTTACCATCTAAGGCACAATAACTGGTCTCCGTTTGTCAGGAGCAACAGAGGACAGGGAGAGAGAGCAGGGTATATCAGAAACTGGAACCTGTAACTTTGGCATTTTTAAACATACTGGTTTGTTACTTTGTAACTGTGCCATTATTTGGGTTTATATGATGTTTTGTCAGGATTACTGCATTTTGACCCAAATAATGCGTTACCCAGTGTACGTAAACCGTCAGACTTCCTCACGTGTTAGCTTCATATACATGTGTATGTTACATGCGTGAGTGTGCTATATGCTAAACGCTAGTCTGAGATTATGGGTTTTTAAGGGCTGTTATCCTCAGGGTCAGCAGTTTGAATCTAGCAGCTGTGCCATGGGAGAAAGATGAGGCTTTCTGCTCCCACAAAGATGTATAGCCTCAGAAACCCGGTACAGAGGCGCTATGAGTCGGAACCAACTCCACGGCACATAACAACAAGGAACAATGCTACAGAGATGAGGTACCCTTCTCATCACATATTAGACATATATGGTACACTTACTGCCTCAGCCATCAGGTTAAAGTAGTGTTTACCAGGTTCTCTGTAGTTATTAATTTTACCATCCACAATTGGTTAGAACTGATCATACAGTCCAAACTGCTGGGTAGGAATAATAAAGT